ATGTTCGATGTTCAAGTATCTACGTTGTCCGCAACAGAGGCAAAACTGTGAATCATCGGAGGCTTTTCCAGTCTCATTTAATCAGCGTCACTGCAGCTGTTTTTTTTTTTTTTAATTTAGTGCTTTGTCTGAAGGGAATCATGGATCCTGCGTTGAAGAAAAAGAAAAAACACCACAGTGCTTCTTGACCAACGGGGAAATTAACAGTTAAAGGTGTCACTGTTTTCCAGAACGTCAGCGTGATCGTTTCCCGTGATTGTGGCACCTCCGATGCAAATCTCCCAAAGTGCAAGAAGACGTTCAAGCGATCAGCCATTCACAGTGCTCGCTTTGACTCCGTCGGCCAATCAGCGCGAGACGAGTCAGCCAACAGAACATAAGGAAAGTTGTCTCCTTCACTTTGCTGGTAGCCTGTCCTCGGGCTGGCTTCGTCCTGGAGGACTCACTCCTCTCCTTAATTGTGAATCCTGGAGCCAGTGTTGTTATTGTATTCACCCAGTAGCGCTGTTCGTCAGTGCTGGCGTTACAACCTGAACACTTCTGCCACTGTGTGAGGAGTACAAAAAGGTCCCGCTGTTGAAACTGTGTGAATTAGAGAATTTCCTTTCCCAGCTACGGCCACACGATGCTTTTTTTTGAAAGCTGGTTGTTTGAACACATCAAAGAGATAAAACCCAGAATGAATGTTTTTAGACCACCCAGATGAATCAGAATGAAAAACAACCGTCACTGTATCAGCTGTGTCCATGCAACCCATTCCTCTTTTTCCCATCTCATCTGCTCCATCTTCTCTCAAACCCCCCTGCACGGCCCCGTCCGTCCACTTGGCTCTCCCTTCGGTTTTAACATCCTCATTAGCATCCACCCCCTAAACTCTGAGGAGGGCTCCGAACAGACAGACAGACAGACAGACAGAGGGAAAGATAAGGATAGGGTGAGGACGGTTGAGCGCTTATTGCTTTACTGACGCATATTGCTTGTTTACTCGCTGTCATTCCTCGTTTGTTCCCAACCTCTAATGCATTCCGAGTGATTAAGGACAAACCCCACAGAATATTTTGGTAGGGCTTTTAGAGGCCAGAAAGCTTTTCATATGAAGTGACCCACTAAAAGTGTGGCACCTCATGGGGATAAAAGTCAAAGAGACAGGGAAGCCACGAAGGAGAAACCTGCTGCAACATGGTACATTAAATACTGTGCAGTGCTGGCGACGGCACGAGCGCAGATGTGTTTGATGCATATTCACCGCATGCATATCCCGTTGATGCTTTTGTATTCATGATCCCCGTTCTTCGCTGATCCTTTATTACAAAAGCACGCCAGCAGTTCCTCGCAAGCATTCCACAACAGCTTGCCTAACAGGTTTTTCACATCTTGGAGAGGTAAAGTGGAGAAGCCGTCGCAGCATTACAAGCACGCCTTATATTGCTAATTTATTCTCTCTTGTTAAAGTTTTACTCCATTGCTCATTTTATTTTTCTTGTGTACATTCACAGCTCCATAAAATTGAGATGCAAATTGGGGAGGGGGATTTGGCTGACTGATATTTCTGCTTACAAGTAAAAATCAGTGAATCCAGAAATTAAAATCTCTTTCATGTAAAAAAAAAAAAAAAGAAAATCTCCAGATAGGAATTTTTATATCGCTTTCATGTCACAGCCAGCGTCTGTGGATGCTAGTACGGATGCAGTCAAGTTTGTGTGGGTGCTATCAGGGAGTAAATCTGGAGGCAGCCATGCTTTGACTTGCTCTGTCATTAATTATACTTCTCTCCCCGTGCACACATGCTAAGAGGACCCAGTGAGACTATCATGGTTTACAACAGCTTGCAGCGCTGGGTACCAAACACCAGACAAGCGCTCAGTGCCCATCGCTCAAAAACCTCACGGATATGGATGCACAGAGGGAGGTCAGGCGGTGGAAGGAAGTCTGCTAGAAGGCTGCTAGAAAGTGAAAGATAGCGAGAGACAGACGGAAAGACAGAAAGAGAGAGGGAGAAGGAGGAGAGAGTGAGAGGAAGTGCGAAATCGTGTGCAACTCTGGTAAGCACTGCTGTTTGATGAGGTTCCACCACCTGCCTGATGTGCTATAGCATGTGCCAGGCATGCACTGCGGCATAGCTGCTGTCCTCATGATAACAAATGAAGGTGAATTCAATCGGTGAGCCTCACTGGCTGTTCTGTACTGTGAAGGGGAGAATACGCAGCGAGGAAGAAAAGGGATTTTCAGGACTGAAAGCAGTATTCAATTTGAAGCCATCACTTATCATCGCTGGACAAGTTAACTAAAATCTAAGAAATTACCTATTGAAAAAGTAATGGCATTATCTTTCTGATCACTCCTCAGCAAAAAAGAATGTGTTGCATCACTCAAAGGTGACTTTTACAGAGAATTATGAACATTAAACCCTGCATATTTCCCATAATTGCATCCATTGCAGCTGTGTTGGTTGAGCTAATGTTACACTCACCACCTCGTCTGTACAATGAGAATTTTATGAATAATTTCAAAGACTTACATTAAACAGAAAGCAGCCTCTTGTAATGATCATTATGTCTGAGTGCATATGAATCTGCATTCAGGGGAAACTTGACCAAATGCTGCACTCGTGCCATTTCAACCGGGTGGGAAGATCATTCATGTATTTCTGGCAATTGGTTACCAAGTGAAATATGTAGAGCTCCAATAAATCTATCTTACTCAACTGTGGTATTACTGGATTTAATGTTTTATTCTTTTTAGCAGTTACCAATATCTCAGACTTGGAATTGCAAGTCGTAATCGGATGTGAATGGTTTTTACAACTTGGCTGCTTATAATTTAAACAATATGACTATTGAAATAATCATCCTGCATATCTAATCATGAGCAAGGCTGACTTTCACTACAGCCATAGTGTCTTCTAAGGAAGCTGGAAAAGCCTAATGCAGTGGCAGATTGATTATTATTATGGCAACAATTGTGAGATGCTTTTGATGATCAGTCGAGGACAAAATCAAACGGAAGAGAACGAACGTAGGTGAAACTGAAAGACAAAAGGACCATCCTGAAAATGAACACACCCCAGGAACCTGCTGGCGATCCTGCAATGTGCTGCTCACATGGAAGATAAACTGAAATTCTCCTTTAAACAACTCAAAACCCTGTATACCGACAACACATATCTACAATTTTTGGATTCAAAACAATGTTTGGCTACATTTTGGGAGTATTGAACCAAGAACAAGATTAAAATTAGCCCCAGTAACCACATGCAACTCTTTACGATTTCTCACAGTTACGTTGCAGGGTTCCTACACCCTCCAACTCTGAACAAACGCAAGTAAAGAAGAAACAACATGATGCAAATGAGATGGCTTTGCAGGTTCATCTCTCCTCTATTGGAAGAAGAAATCACACCTCCAGCACCGAGATCACAATTCCTGTCCATTCAGTGACATAACATGAGTCAATGTCACTAAAATTGAAAAAATGTCATTAAGAGTCAACAGTTTAACACCTAATATTTAACAGTTATGAATAGAAATGGAAATTAAACTGTAATTTCTTCTGCTATATTTGGAAAAAACCCTATAACTGATCATTACTCGGCATTTACAATTTGACTACTGTCACACCGAAAACACTTGACGCATTATCTCCATCCGAATACCTCCAAGGCATGAATTACGCTGCTCTTTGTTTAAGTGCTTGCTTTCATTCACTTTTAGCGCTAGAGCACTTCATTAAGAGGGAGTGAAGTAAATTGCAGTGCACTGACAAGTGGTGTCAGCCTTTTGGATTTTTGTTGGCGTTGCAGCAGTAAACACAGGCATCAAACAGAAATACTGGGTTAAGGTGTTCCTGGATGCATCACTGCTCTCTCCTCCTGCATCCAGAAACACTGTATGATGCTAATCATTAGTGTTTGCTTATGGACAAACTAGTCATCGCAAATGCCAAAAATAGCAAAGCGGATGCATGCGGTGCCGAATATCTGCAGCATTTCTCCGACACATTCGTCAAACAGAGAATGACTTTGACCTTTCTGGACACGTTTCGCCAGGTGTTGTGACACAGCCTGGGCAAAAAAAACCTCCACGGCGACGCGAGAGACTGTGACTGAAATTTTACAGTCCGACAGCAACTAACAGCGAGAGAGCTTGCTTATTCATTTGCCCAGTTTTGTTGGATCAGTGTGTGGAGAGACAAGTGTGTGCATCTGTTTGTGTCTCAGAGGGGGGCGGACAGGGCGGGGTGGGGTTGCCTGTGGTCTCTGACACTGCTGGGAACCTTGTGTAATTTTTGACAAGCGTGCAGTGTGTGTGTGTGTGCATGTTTCAGATCTTTCTCATCTCATTTGCCCTTGGAGTGAGATGAATCCCTCCCACACCACCCTGCCCTCCTCTCTGGTATGAATTGCCGGGCTGATATCTCACTCTTTGGGGGGCTGCAGGGCAACGAGAGCTGACAACACAATGGCATTGTCTCCGCTGATGGGAAGCCAAAGTCTTAGGGGAAACACTCCCCCACCAGCCTCTCAGAGTAGGGCTAGTTTGTGGGGTAAATAGAGTCTCTGCGTTGGGATTTGGACATTTGTACGCGGTGGAGTGGCGCTACAGAGCAGCACAGAATGTCACCGAGGTGCCAGGGGGTTGAGAGGAGACGGAGGAGAGAGCTGTGCCAACACACTGAGAGGCCACTCAATTATTTAGAAAAGCTGCTGGGTTCAAAGAGTCACAGCCAACACCTTCCAAACCACCACCTTCGCAGCTTCATCCGTGGCTGCCGTTTCGATCCAGCGGTCTCAAAAATACACAAATATCACTCACATTATTATTAACAATGATGAGGAAAATGCAGAGTTAAAAAAATTCCAGATACGATATTTGTTTGCCGCTTCACGCCATTGTAGCTGTGGATATAAGAGATATCAGAGCTTTTTCCCTTCAAACTCCGCTTGTTTTGTTGTTGTTGTTGTTTTTTTTGTGTGTCTTCATTCATGCCATTCTTCCCCATGTTCACACAGTGACCTCTGTCTTGCTGTTGGTGGCCAGTCCCTTGTGCTTGGGGTGGATGTGCGGCGAGTGGCCGTAACCCAGTGGCTGCGAGAAGAGCTCTGGCAGCGTCTCAATGCTGAACTGCCTCTTGTTGGAGTAGGCCTGGCGCCGGCTGTTCTGCTGGTGCAGCGGCTGGTGCTGCTGCTGCTGGATGGGGTGATGCTGCTGACCCCCGAGGGCCATGTGGGTGGCCACCGGGTGCTGGATGTGGCTCTTGCTCGGGTCCCACGCCTTGAAGGCCGAGCTGGAGGTGAGCGGGTGGGTGTTGGTCTTGGAGATCTTGGGTTTAGGCATCTGGGAGGCGTTGATGGTGATGGCCAACGGTGCGTGGATGTCGGGTGGAGGGAGGAAGGGCTTGTCCTTGGGGTGGAAGTTGATTGGCTGGAAAGTGGGAGGAGACTGGCGATGGGTGTAATCCACCATTGGGTAGCTTTTGTAGTAGTCTCTTGCACTTGTGTCTGGATGGATGGAGACATGAGGGAGGGCAAGACACAAGAGACATGGTTACTATATAGTAATATACAATGCAACAGTGATAAACAGTAGGGACGACCAGGCAATGGTTCAGTGTTGGACAAAATAAAGATGAAGTAAAATAAACTTAATCTTATTCTCTTTTTACTCACCAGTGTTTCGTCCACCTCTGTTCTCTGCTGCCACAGTGCTGCTCTGCTTTATGATATAATGTGAGAATTTCACTCCTTTAAAAAATACATTTACAACCGTTTTCAGGGATGAAAGTGACAAAAATGTCACCACAACTGTAGTAGCTAATGACAAGCCAAATGAAGCTTGGTTGTTGTTGGTGTGATCTCTGCAGCTGGTGTCTGCACTCTGCCAAAGATTGCTTGTGAGGTACATCAAGAGTCTCTCTTAAACACAACCATACGAGTCACGAGTTAAAAGTTTTGAGACTTCGCTGATAAAATACAAAAACTGGACCTGATTTAAATTTTGCAACTATCCCCTTGGAAGTGGTCTTCTTGTGCAATGCTCCACTGCTCCCAATGCTCCTGGAATACCTCCGCTGTCAAAACAATGACCCTTCAGCTTAAATTTCATTTGGGATCGGCAGAATTTTTAGGAAGCCAAGTCTGGGATTAGGCTGAGTTGCACCGATTGTTGGTGCAGCCAAAACAAATGTTTTCAATGCTCTGTGAAAATTAGTTTTTGGGTTGTTTGAATTGAAAGTTCTCCCTCAGACACATTAGGACAACACAGCAGAACTTTGCAGTGATGAATTAATGATGCACGACCCTGACAATGTCAAACAAAGATACGAGCAGTCTTGTGGCTGTGTTGATGACCTGATGCACCTTCTTCAGTCAGATTGCCGTCCACTAGACTGTTGCTTGATCTCTGGTTTCAGGTCCGTGGTGAAATTGCAAATGCACCTCTGTAGGTGATCAGAAATGGACGTCTAGGCAGTTTTCCAAATGTGGCAGGAGCCCTGAGAGCAGTGTATTGCTACACACGGAGACTACTTTATAGGGGATGGTGACCAAATTTAAATCTGGTTTGGCTCTTGCTTTCTTTTTTTTGCACTCTTGGGACTTCTTGTAAAACCACAAGTGTTTCTATGGTTCCACCTCCAACAGAACAACAGGTTGTCTCTCAAGCTTTTTCTCGGAAAGCAAGTTTCAGGAGCAACAGTCTCCCAGTTAAGTTTCTACTCAATAATTCCATCCATCATCTATACACTGCTTCATCCTCACTAGGGTCGCGGGGGGGCTGGAGCCTAACCCAGCCGACGTAGGGCGAAGGCAGGGGACACCCTGGACAGGTCACCAGTCCATCGCAGGGCTACACTTAAACCAGACAACCAAGCACACTCACATTCACACCTACAGACAATTTAGAATCACCAATTAGCCTCAACATGTTTCTGGACTGTGGGAGGAAGCCGGAGAACCCGGAGAGAACCCACGCTGCACAGGGAGAACATGCAAACTCCACGCAGAAAGATCCCGGTGCCCCCACCAGGACGCGAATTGGCGACCTTCTTGCTGCGAGGCAACAGTGCTACCAACTGCACCACCTTGCAGCCCTACTCAATAATTAAAGCTTATAAATAGATTTTTTTTTAAAATATATTTTGATTACATATTTAATCAGCAATAAATGTAAGCAAGGATATAAAGATACATTCTGGCCGTGAACTCACCGATTTTGCTTAAAGTTACACAGAATATCTACAAACACATTCCTGGTATGTGAACAAATAGAGAAATCCTGTCCTGGTGGATTCGCATGTGTGTCCTTGAAGATGGGTTATTTGATATTTTAACCGTCTATACACTGACCAGAGAGTTAACAATGCTAGCAGACAGAAACACAAACACGACCAGCAAAATGTGGGAAAAAACTGTACGAGTGACCGTCAAGCAAAATGAGTGATTTGTAAGGAATAAAAATAGAGCGGGTTGAGCACGTCGAGTCAGATTAGTGCGAGCACTCTGAGTGGAAACTCGACTCATTACTACTGCCCACCACCCCTCAGACACACTCTGCCCTGAAGATACTAACAACCTTGTTTGCTTAACCCTGTTTATTGGTCCTTTTTTTTCCTGGAGAGATTTAAGAGCCTGAGGGGAAAAAAAAAATCTTCTGTCTGATATTTTTTATTTCCTCCTTCACTGTTTCTGCCTTCATCACTCCTTTTGTGTTTGTTATCCTCCAGCAGCATACTATCAGGTTGTATTGTCCCTTATTCGTTTGTGTGCCTGTGTGTCTGATCTCACTGTTATTACATTAAACAGGATGTCAATGGTGTTGTCAAAGGAGGATGAGCTGAATTAAAATAAAAGAGGTTTGTGGGTGTAGACCACAGGTTCATTGATTTATTTACTGTATTTATTAGAAGCAGAAAAGCTGGTTTTGTGTTCTCAAAAGCTGTTGATTCTAATAATATATTCTAGCCAAGATGGCCGAGAACACTTTCTTGCATTTCCAGAAAAAAAAAAAACACCTAGAGGAGAAGTCTCCCATTCACACATGTCAGGAAACTGTCCAACACTATCACAGTCCTGTAATTGCTTATTGAACACTTTATATGTGGGTTTATTGTGCAACTCCAGGGCACTTCAACAGCAGCTGTTAGGGAAGGAGACAGAGTTACAGGAAATCATTCACTCCCTCAGAAAAATTCTCCATGCTGGCCTAAGGATTTACTCACGCTACTGCTTTGCTCAATGCACCATCAAATAACAAAACCGGCTCTTTCATTCTTGTTAATACTTTGTAAGCACAGCAAGTATCAGTCCTCAGTCGATATGTCGTGCAGGCTTCTGGAAAATGATATATGAGAAGATTTAGGAGTTTTGTCTTAAGAAAGTAGTCCACATATTCATAACAAAGAAATGCGCGGAAGGGCGAAGCAGAGCAGTTTCACAAGATGCAAATGTGTAGAGGATTAGTGTGTGTTTGTGTCTGTGGGTTCATATGTACATGTGTGTGTGTGTGCCATGCAACACATTTCCATACATTGCTCGCTCCCTCAGAAGGGAATAAGCCGCTTGAGTGTGCACCGCATGATTTTGGCAGTAGACTTGGTCCAGATCATGCTGTAGTTTTAACATCCAGCATTTTATGTAAATGTTTTGAATTTTGTTTGTGCATTGATTTGTTTCTGTTACTACTCCTTTCACCGGGTGCAATTACAGTATCATGTTTCTTTGGTGTAACAGTACACTTCAATTGAGGCTGCAGCAGCAAAATTTGACAGAAATACAGGGTGGAGGGGGGATCTGGGACGGCGCAGAAACAATGAATTAAACACACCCTTCCTTCTCACAACAACTGCTGTTGCTGTCCATTTGAGTGCTTCCACACATGTTGCCAGCAGGCGCACCTGACAGCGGGGTCCTCTGTGACAGTGCAGCTCACCATCCTCTCCATTTCACAGACTCTCCATCTGCTCATTCTCTTTCTTGCTTGCGTCTCTTGTTTTTCATTCTCTGTATCTTTTTATTTTATGATCTTCAACAACATCAGCTTTTTGCTCTTTATCCGGCGTCAGCCTGAAGCGAGGCCCGTGGGCCCAATCTGGGCCGCTGCATTATGACTGCATACGCTGGAGCCTGCAAAGGATTTCAGAGTTTGACAACATACTGTATTCTACTTGGTCTATTTTTAATGCCACTTCCTTATGTGTGAGCACTTATTCTGGCTCATTAATGCACTGCCATTGTGGTAATGGTGTATGCATATACATATATTGTCAGATTATCTCTGGTATGCAATCCATAATAATTATTCAATTACAGCCCCTGGCACTCTGCTATACACATTTTTAAAATGTCCGAGTAGAGGGCATTTTTAAAACCCCAAGGTATAATTCAACAAGCATTTTTTGAATTTTCAATGTGCTTTTCAATTGACCCTGCCAATTATATTGGCCAGAAAAATACAGAATGTCTATTAATCTTTATCCGTAACCTCTTAAATTCTAGATTTTAGAACCCTTTTTCTCTTTCCTACATGTTTTCCATTTGTATGGCAGTAAGTGTTTTCTGTAGCAGCTTTTCTGCAGCTTTGTGATGCCATTAATTGAAGGGCGCATTTTAATGTCCATCCGTTGCTCCATGAAATGTCACTTTTACCTGTCGCTGACCCTGAGACTGACAGACTTGATACTTTTGGAAACTTTGTGATCTTTCATTGAAAGACAACAGGGAGGTCCCGCAGAGTTTAGGAGGTAGAAAATGAAAACAGTACAAGAGAAAAAACACCCTCCAGGTGCAGAGCATCCCAGCATGCAAGAAAATTCACAAACCGAAAACTTGCAGTACAATTTTTTTCCTCAAACAAGCTCACAAAAATAGCAGTGGAAAAATATTTAAGAGCTGCATTGCTGTGCTTTTCCTCATTAGTCTCTACAGGTTCTCCACTGATCACTGCCTGCAAAGGAATTCTCTCCTGAAGTGCAAAACATAAAAAAAAAAACTTTGAACCGGAGGAGCCGATTCATCTTCAAAGCCACATTTTGAGATTACTCCAGTTCATGTATCTTAAAAGTCTACTTAATCTTTTTTCACCCATTATGTGTCTTGAAGCACGGACTTAAAAATTGCAACAACTTCATGACGGAAAAACCAAAAATTTAATCTCATGCTGTCTTTTTTTTGTTTGCAAGTTCCCAGACAGTAGAACTGCTTGTTTCTGCTTGAAATTGACAAAAAAACAAAAAAACAAAACAGGAAGTGACAATGAAAACATTGTACTCTGCAGAAAATCTTTTTTCAAAAAAATATTCTGCAGAACTTGCATCTTTACTTAACCTGACAGGGATTTGTCTGCATTCTCCAGTAGTGCTGTTGGATTGTAAAAGATTAATTAAAGACTTCAGGCAGTCTTGGCCCAGATTCTGGGGTCTTAGAGTTCTGGCAAACAGACTTTCACACCCTCTTTGAGAAAATCCCTCCACCTTCTGCCTTGTGTTGTTGTTTTTCTTCAGCCA